TCAGAAACGTCGATGAAGGTTAGACATCCATGTAGATCATAACGTGAAAAAATAAATCTGGGCTGATTTTGCCTCTCCCTGGTGGAAAGGCTCCTAGGAGCGTGATGTAGTCAAGGTAACAGTAACCTTATCAGTTACCCAGTAATATAAAACGTAATGTTATAACGTTATACGTATTCCATCATTGTCCATAAGTCTTGTCAAATATTTTATTTTCTATCAGATGTACAGGTGGTGGTAAGAATATACGTTTCGTACTGAGTTCGCCCATATCTTTGTCCATTTATTTGGATTAATTGATGTTCCTCTTTATATAAAAAAAAAAAAAAAAAAACAGGAGAAGAACTAACCTTGTCGCTGTCCCTCTCCCTGTCCAGTATCTCGTCCCTGGCCCTGGCTAGCTTGTCCTTCTCGGTGTTGGCGAGCCACTCCGCGCGTACGGCCTGGTCCCGCTGTCTCTTCATCAGGTCCCGCTCGTGCGCCAGGTTCTGCACGTCCCGCTCCAGGCTAGAGATCTTTATACTAGAGAGTTGTCTGTCTCTGGTGGACATGAAAAAATAGCCCCGAAGTTTCATTTTCAAGACTGTTGCTCGAGATCTTTATACTCGATAAAGGTTAGGTTCCAATACACAAGGAGTTGTTACTCAAGCAACTGGATAGATTTTGAAAACTGTCAGACGTTTCGGTTATATAACATCCACTACTTTTTGTTAGTCACTAACGAAACCAATTGAACTTTTGAATCTTCAAACAAACGGTTTTGAAGAGAAAGCCTTAGGGCATTGCATTGTTGTGCGGCCTTCTTTTCCGGACAATCTTTCCACTTTATTCAACCATCGTGTGGATTTTTGTCTGGAATTGCATATCTACATGTATTCTCACTTTTACACACATGTAGTAGATGTGTGTGACACTTTAAAAAGTGCAACGAAAAGTTATATTTTACATTGTATTTTTACATACCTAGCTGAGTTGTCCCTCGCAACGTACCACGACTGTTGTTCATACTTCAGCTTGTTGTTCTCCGCCTCAAGCGTCTGTATCTTAGTCTCCTGGTCCCTAATCGTCATGGACTGGTCCACCGCAGCAAGCCTCCTCTCCTTCATCTTCAAGTCTTTCGCCAAGTGTTTCTGTAAGTCTCTCACTCTCTCACGCAGCAAAACCTTCTCAAGGTTCTGGGCACGAGATCTACTCATGTTTCCCGCCAGTTTAAATCTCTGCCCCAGGGTGCCGTCGCCCGCACTAGGGCCTTCTCCGAGGAACTCGCGAAGCTTCTTCGCCCTTTTTCTAGAAGGAAGTCTCTGTGTTTCTGGCTCGAGTACCGGACTGTCTGCCTCTGATGACGTAAGCGACCTGGTGTCGTCGTCGTGTGTGATGACCAGCCGGTTTACCTCGCCTGGAGTCAAGAGACACCAACGTTGTGAGGAGGAGTTTCCCTCATCATATTTTATCTGTTCACTCTATGATATAGGGATTTTCTTTTTACACAACCAGTAATGTTTCTCACCTGTTTACGTTCTGATGCTGTCAGACATCTCCTCTGTTCTTCTCTGTTTTCTGTCACAAATTTTTGTACAGTAGGCCTTCGAATTTCTGATGAATCATTTTTTGCAAAAATCATTTCGTACTTCGTCGACGAAGGTTAGACATCCAGGTACACTCTTCTGCTTCCCCAGCAGCACACTCTTCTGATTTTATTATTTACGTGCGAAATAAAGAATACAAAATACAGTACATGGTCATACATAGATACATGTAGGGAATCTCACCGGTGCCTCCCTCCCCGCCGCTGTGCCTGACCTGTAGTAACCTCTCCAGAGCCGGCTGGTCCGTGTGCAGCAGGACGGCACAGAACCTGTCCACCACGGCCGGGCCCTGCTCCCTCAGCAGCGTCAACACGCGGGCCTTCCGCCGCGCACTGGTGGACTCTCTCTGCGGTAGAACAGGACAAATATTACTAGGTCTGTATCTGTATCTGTTTAGCCGCACTAGGCCGGCACAGAACCTGTCCACCACCGCCGGGCCCTGCTCTCTCAGCAGCGTCAACACACGGGCCTTCCGCCGCGCACTGGTGGACTCTCTCTGCGGTACAACACGACAAATATTAGCCGGAATAACCGCGTCAGTATACGTCACAGAACCTGTCCAATACGACCGGGCCCTGCTCCCTCAGCAGCGTCAACACGCGGGCCTTCCGCCGCGCACTGGTGGACTCTCTCTGTGGTACAACAGGACAATATTAGCCGGTATAACCGCACCAGGACGGTACAGAACCTGTCCACCACGGCCGGATCCTGCTCTCTCAGCAGCGTCAATACGCGGGCCTTCCGCCGCGCACTGGTGGTCTCTCTCTGCGGCAAAACAGGACAAATATTACCAGGACAAATATCAGGACAAATATCATCTGTTTAACCGCACCAGGACGGCACAGAACCTGTCCAACACGGCCGGACCCTGCTCCCTCAGGAACGTCAACACACGGGCCTTCCTCCGGGCACTGGTGGACTCTCTCTGCGGTACAACAGGACAATATTAGCCAGTATAACCGCACCAGGGCGGTACAGAACCTGTCCAACACGGCCGGACCCTGCTCTCTCAGCAGCGTCAACAAGCGGGCCTTCCGCCGCGCACTGGTGGTCTCTCTCTGTGGTACAACAGGACAATATATTAGCCGGTATAACCGCACCAGGACGGCACAGAACCTGTCCAATACGACCGGGCCCTGCTCTCTCAGCAGCGTCAACACCCCATCACAGAACCTGTCCAATACGACCGGGCCCTGCTCTCTCAGCAGCGTCAACACCCGGGCCTTCCGCCGGGCACTGGTGGACTCTCTCTGCGGTAGAACAGGACAAATATTAGCCGGAATAACCGCGTCAGTATACGTCACAGAACCTGTCCAATACGACCGGGCCCTGCTCTCTAAGTAGCGTCAACACGCGGGCCTTCCGCCGCGCACTGTTGGTCTCTCTCTGTGGTAGAACAGGACAAATTTTACTAGGTCTGTTTCTGTATCTGTTTAACCGCACCAGGACGGTACAGAACCTGCCAAGCACGGTCGGGCCCTGCTGTCTCAACAGCGTCAAAACGCGGGCCTTCCGCCGCGCACTGGTGGTCTCTCTCTGCGGTCATCCTCCTTCGCAGGGCTAAAATCCTCCGGTTCCCTTCCGGTTTTAGCCCTGCTATTTACCGCTGACAGTTTGACTTCTGGTGACGTCACTTATAAATAATTCATGAGCTTGCCTTATTTGGCACAAACCAATCAGATGTCGGGGGGCTTGCCCTAACTCTGTCTCGGCTTTGGCCAGGGCTTTGGCCGCTGCTGGGAAGCCCATATAGCACAGGCTCTTCCCTCCTCCTGTCCGCACACTCAGAAAAACGTCTCTGCCATCAAGCAGCGCCCGTAGCATCGACTGCTGATGCTCACGAAGCCGCTCGACTCCAAATAAATCTTGCACGGCTCGCACGAAACTTCTAGTATCTGTAATAGCCGCCATCTTGGCCTGTCCCAACATGTAACCTGATTGGCTAATAGGTTCCCAGCGACCTTTGCGGTTTTTGCGCAAAGCTCGGTGCGCAAATTCTCTGATTGGCTGACAGCAGTTTGGCGGTGACGTCACCAGAAGTCAAACTGTCAGCGGTAAATAGCAGGGCTAAAACCGGAAGGGAACCGGAGGATTTTAGCCCTGCGAAGGAGGATGTCTGCGGTAGAACAGGACAAATATTACCAGGTCTGTATCTGTATCTGGTTAGCCGGTATAACCGCACCAGGACGGCACAGAACCTGTCCACCACGGCCGGGCCCTGCTCTCTCAGCAGCGTCAACACGCGGGCCTTCCGCCGGGCACTGGTGGTCTCTCTCTGTGGTACAACAGGACAAATATTGCCAGGAAAATTACTAATAAAGTGGTGGACGTACCAAGTACTAAGTACCTAATACCAGCCCAGAGAAGAACAAGAAATAGCCATGCCTTCAAGTACCAGAGTTATCAACCAAGGATTGAGGTGTTCAAAAACTCATTCTTTCCTAACTATCGCAGAGAGGAACTAACTGTCACCAAGTACAGTAGGGGCATTGTCATTAGATAGCTTTAAACAATTAGATGTTCAAGGGTTAGGTGTAACAGTTCGTTCGGTGTAATGTAGCCAGCTGCCGCCGCGCCGCGTGTCTGCGAAGCTGGTGTGTTACGCCGAGGAGCGGTTATACATGCTAAACAGATACAGGTCTAACTGGAAAAAAGTAATTGAACACTCAAGAAGGTATATCGATGAAGATTAAACATCCAGGTTATGAGATACACAAGTTTCAAAACTACCACCGGACGTTTCAAGTAGCATCCACTACTCAGGATCAGGCCTGACTCAGGTCTTCATCAGTGACTAACGAAATCGGTAGTTTTACACGTGATCTGCCGAACATGATTGTGTTCAAAGCGCACTACTAGTACTCATGTTACGTGTTAAGTACCTCTTAACATCACTACTCCATCAACTGGAAACTTGAAGTTGAATCAACGTGTCGAAAATAGCATGGACTCCATTCTCCATTGTTCAATACGGGCAGATAAAACGGTGTTAGGAAACGTACCCGGGAGTGGAGAGTTGAAGATTATGAAGTATCATAGTAAAATGTTGAATGTTTAACTCTATTATAGCTGACATTAAGCTTTCGACTTATTTCATCTTCCCGCTCTTATTTTGGTGTCGATAGTTCGTACATCTTTCCTACTTCGACAAGCAGTGGTATTCTTTTATATGTACTACTATCCTTTCTACTTTTCATCACCAACTTTCTTTCGAACTGGTGCAACTCAAGTAGTTAGTCCTCTCAAACAACTCTTTTTCCAAGTCTACTGGTGCAAACACATACACAATACATGTGAAAATAAGGCTTTACCTTGATTTTGTCCACTTCGTCGTGAGAAAAGACGTCGTTGTTCTCCAGCAGGCTGTAGAAGCGGGGGGTCAGCTGGAGCTCACGGAGCAGCAGGGAGAAGTTCTGGTCGATGGTCCGAACATGCGCGGCGTCCATTCCTGGTTTAGTACGGTAAATTTATTATATTTTCTCAACATTCTGTCTTAATACACAACAGACGCAACGAATAAAACACACACAGACGTACACACATACACACATACATACACACACGCACACACATACACACACACACGCACACACACACACACACACACATACACTCACACATACACACACACACACACACACGCGCACTCACACAATCAGTCACTATCAGAGTCTGAAGTATGTTCTCAGAAAGACAAAACTGGTGGGTTGTGCGGTACAAAGAAACAAACTAGCGAGCAACAATAAGAAGCACAAAAAGCATACAAACGGATACATACAAGATAACAACATATCGTACTTACACTTTGCCAGTGCCAACGACCAAGACGAAAAGAACACATCACATAACCAAACTCGGCCCTGTCATATAGTAGTCAAAGGCCCGCAATCTCTAATCTCACACGAAACGTGTTACAAAACGTGCCATTCTGTGCTACATCCAGGCTCCCTTTTATCACAATCTTCTTATGCAACGCCCTCACTGGTTGAGATAACTAACACAAAGGCTTTAAGCACTTCAAGTGGCAACAGGAAAAAATACATACCTATGGTGGGAGTCAGGATTTTTCTCTAGAGCACGAGCTGATCTATTCCTACCGTGTGTCTGGTGTCACTGGAGTGTCGGTACGTAAAGACGAGTACACGTACTCAAAAAGTGTCACTGAATCATCTATTGTATCAACATAATCGTTGCGCAACAGTATGAGAATCAACTACCAAGAAAGGCAATAGTTTGGCACACTGCATGGGCACGCAAAGAATCCGTACCTCTATGTTATGAAATGGTAAAATGCAGATTAGCGCAGCTGGAGGCAGTATACATTTCTGCTCTCCAGGGTTACATGATTCGGATAACATTGTTTCCAACAGGTACTCAACTGCCTAAAGACCAGCTACATGCATGAGTAGGTCTATAAGTACACTACAGAGTATAGATCCGGGAGCAACAAAGGACATAACGTCACTATTACTATTGCACTGTATTTTACATAATATGCCTTTCGTTTTGAGTTCAATGACGAATATTGTCGAGCGTTCGATCGTATACTATGAATTAATAAAAAAAAAATAGAAGAATAAAGAGAATTGACTAATCTCCAAGCAGATCCCAGGATGGCAAAAGACATTATCAAATTGAGCAGGCAGTATCCATTGCCCAGAGAGGGTCCAATACGCCACTCTAGGATCTGCTTGGAGATTAAAAATTGACTGGGATTCAAAAATCGTTTGTTGGCATCAACTACCAGCCATGCAAACTACTGCAAGACGTAAAATCGTTGTCAGTTTATTCCCACATTTTGACAGGTCATCTCTGTCTAAAATGCAACAACAGCATACTTCACCACTAAACATCTAAATGCATATACGTGATCCATCCTACATTGATATGTACATCTATAGTATAGTGTAACTTTATTTCAGTCTGCAACACAAAGAAACATTTTTACAGTGAACTCTTCAAATGGAAAGGCACTGCCTGTTCACAATTGATGTCCATACATAAAAATCATGTTAAAAATGATAATATATTTACTACTTATTTGTACAAAATCATTCTGTCATGAAATGGAATCTTAAAAGCACTCTACATATTTGTAATGCTTATTTTTTGGCAAGCATGAGTTAAAGTCTACTTAATTTATAAACTTACCACCCTACAATTGTGACCATTGAACCAAAACAAGAAAGGCATGCACAACCTATAATATTGGGTTAAACATGTCTGCTAAATTGGTCAAGCCATGTCAAAGAAAAATCTGGATATATTTCCTTGATACAAGGCATCTGATTGGCTGCCTTTTCTATCCTTGATACAAGGAATTTGATTGGTTGCAAACAATGCAAGGAATATAATGGCAGTGAGGCACAAGTCCTCACAAGCCCTCTGTAACAATTTATTTTAACTTTCAGAACACAAGCTTTACTGTAATCACATTATGGGCAGTGCAGCACCCTTAGAGGGATAAAGGTTTATGACATTGTGGATGTTACTACTGTAACATTGCATTTAAAGGTTTTCAAACTGATTGTAGAGTGGAGATATGTTACCAGGTTAAAGACAGTCCCACCCCGATTTTTCACAAGGACTGTACATTTGATATGATCTGTACTTTTCCTCAAAGAATTGTAATTCTGCACATAGTTCAGCACCAAAAATGCCTTAAAATGTGGGGCCTGGAAGACTGGGAATGATATTGTACCAAGAGACATGAATATACACCAGCTTTCACAGGCTCCAGCCTTATTCATAGTTACTGTAGTATTGTAGTGCTTGCACATGACCAACTTTTTCTGCCGTTTCTCTTGGTAAGTCCTTGTTTTGTATATCACAAAAGACTCAAGCACATGTACATTGTTATACCCCAGCTTAAAACAAAAAGAATGCCTGTTTTCATTTCATTTAATACATCATTTATATACAAATCAAAATGAAATAGAGAAAATTTCAGTAAAAACATATTGTTGTAGTTCACTTTTATTCTATGCAACTTGTCTTAAAAGCACCACTTACATGTATGTCTAAGTTAAAATCATTTTTCTAATTCATGTGTCTTGGAAGTTGAGGCACCATTCTTTGGAATTTGCTACTTGAGTTGACACTTAAACCTTGTTTTTGTGTCTTTGGTTTTTGTAAGATTAATAAGTATTGTTTTACGTTTTCTTTTTCACCTTCTTTTCACCTCAGGAACTGTGGCCATTTAATGTATAACACTTTGTGTACTCCATTCACTGATAATACAATGAACATTTTTGATCAGAATATTAGTAATTACAATCTGATGCATCAGTCTTAATCCATTGACATAACATTCTGGTTAATCACATTTACATCTTTGCAATTATTGTGCTAGCCTAGGTGCTACCATCCACAGTTTCTGCCGGCTCCCTAATGTTGCTGGCCACCACATAAGGGAGGCGGCAGAAACTATGGAGGATGGCACCCAGGCTATTATTGTACATTCAAAATTCAAGATGGATTTATTGGTACACCCATCTTGTTCAACCTGGCCATATTGTACAAGGTTTCCAAGTTTTATATATCTGTGTTTGTCATTTTCAGAATTCATCTACCACAATTACACAGCATTACTTAGCATGTCTGAGTGTGAAGAACTAGGTACAGAAATTTACACCATTCACATTGCAGCAGTACTACAGTGCAGGATGACTACATTACTGGGCTTTAAAGCTGAAATAACTACAACACTGGCATCCTCTTCAGACCTCATCATGGCGCATCCTTCTGCGGGTGGACTGGCCAGCCTGGAAGACAAGAAACAAGAACTTAACCTCTTAAAAACATGGCACAGATGAAGACATAAATTGTAAATTATAATTATGGACTTCAAGCTTTGTTCCAACACAAGCAGGAAATTCGCCATAAATTTTTGGTTGATCTTGTCAACCTTCATCAGATGTATGGTCGCAATGACTCATTAATAAACAAAACATTCATTCATTCATTCATTCATTCACATTCATTCATTCATACATGTAGAACAAAGCTTGAACCAACACAGATGAGCTTTCATTCGATTAGATTTAGATTGTAAATTGTTGTGTAGCTCACCTTAGTTCTGCTGTTGGCACCGTTACTGTCAGTTCTTCTCCTGCTATTGGTTGTACCTGAGCCTTCTTCACTTGGTACAGATCTGAAAAATATGGATGTTGACATGGTTGACTGGTCACTAGATTACAACTACAGTCAAACTATCCAAGAAGAACACTTAAGATGTAAGATCTGGTCTATGTGGGTACCTACTTGTGTCAATGTGAAAACAGAATCCAATGGACCACAAAAAAGTGAACACAATGGCCAGGTGGTTCTTATGTAGAGGTGGTTACAAGCAGAGATTTGACTGTAGGTTATAAAGATACCCCTTTAAAAAATCCCAAAGCCAAGATTCACGTACATGGAATTAAAAGACAATTTGAAAGAGAAGGATAACAAAAGACTAGGACTGACCTTGAGGAAGACTTGACTGTTGACTTGACCTTGGTTGACCTTGACGCCCCTGGACCCATGGCAAAGCTAGCCTGGTACCCAGGCATGGGCTCAGGCTGCTGTGGCCTTCTGGTCGGCTTGTTTTTAGGCTGTGTTTTCACTTAAGAGGAAGAATTACAGAAATCAGTAACTAAATAATGTAATATGTTTTAGTGTTCCTTGCCATCACTACTAAAATTACTAGCAGAATTTGTCAAGAACAAATTGGGAATAGCAATGGTAAATTAATTGTACAAACATAACTTGAAAGTTGCATCTTTTCTAATATTGATATACTGGTGTATTTGTAGTTTTGGTTTTGTAATTCAGTCAGAGAAACTGTAATCTTTTGACAATAAATTTCTTCCATATTTCAACTCCTCTGTTGTGCAATGTGAACCAGTCAGAATTGCTCGAGCAAGGTAACACAGGGTCACCAAAACGTCGGCTAAATAAACCTCTTGGTGGTGTAAAAAAAAAGAGTCTTTTTATTCAATATCACCAGCAGCACCAACTTTACCTTTTGGTTCGTCCATGGTTAAGTCTATCTCTGTCTCCTCCCCCCACGCCCCTTTCCTCCCCTTCTGTCTCTTGTGTTCTTCCATCCGTTCCAGAATTTCTGACGTGGCCATATTGTCGTCCTGTAGGAGAGACTCCAGAGTCTTCCTTGTTCTTGCTGCGCTATTTGCCCGATAACGTGGCGCCAGTTCTGGTGATTCGGCCTCCTCTCGTGGCTCTGAAACTTGCCCAGTTTTGGTGTTAGACGACGACTTGGTGCTAGTTTTCTCCTGGTGCAGACTGGCAAAGTGGTTGGTAATGGTGGTGGCACCTGGGCGCGTACCCCCGGGGTTCTTCTTGGGCCCGACTGGTTTCATGCGGTGATTCGTGGACGAAGACTCCCCAAAGGAGAGAAATGATGCTGAAGGATCACCTGAAAAAAAAGAGTACAGTCAGTTGTAAACGTATATCAAATTTATTGTTGAATAAACTGAAAGATGCATGAGAGCTACTCTATCAAGAGAAAAGTAACAGAGTTTACATTTGATACTGCAGGAAGTATTGCTGGTTTAGGACAACTATAAAATGACAAATGTATAAAGTATGACATACATCAATGAACTTTAGACATCCAGGTAATGAAAACTGAAAACACATGAAAATTGCTACTCAAGCGAAAATGTCAAAATCTATCCAGCTGAGGTAACTGCTTTTCTTGCATAAGTATGATATATGTATATTTTGCAATGCACCGAAAACACAAGTACATTTTGAAACTGAATTTTTTGTCGACCCAAGAAATACAAGATGTACAACCCTCCTTGAGACCTTGATACAGCTGAAAGGTACTGTGAGACACACAAACGGTTGTTAATCTGCTGATAGAGTTGGGGAGATAAGGATTTTCTTCTTACATTGTACACAACTAATAGAGTTGGTCTTACCTTGTCTCTTGACCCGTCTTGTAGGGCCTGTGTCGGAGTACTGGTCCTTAGAGGGTTTGTGTCTGCGGACAGGGGGTGCCACGGAGGGGGGTAGCTGGGGAGGGGGGCGCGGCGTGGGGGCCTCTGACCTGAGGTCATCCATCTGACAAACAGACTATAGGGGGAAAACAGTCCAACATTGAGTGTCTTAAAAAGGGCATATTGTTATTGACATACCCTCAGATGCCTCAATGTAGGGAATTTATCACTTAAATATCAAGAGGAAGATGCAAGGCAGAATGATAAAAGAAATACAAATTCCTAGACAATGTGTGCATCAAAAATTATGATGTTCTCTATTAAAAAATTACTCCACATCAATTTCGACTACATTATATAACAACATTTTAGAGATATTGTAGATATTGTAGTTTTTTCCAGACAGTTGTTACCTGTCTCCTGTTACTGTATTGCAATGAGTATTATACTTGATTGTAAAAGCAATTAGCCTTCGGGCATGATTTTGCGAATAAAGTTTCTATTGTAATTGTAGTGAATTATACGGTGATGGATATGAGACTACTAGGACCTTCCACCTTCAAAACTTCATCTAACCAGTGTGAAAGTTTTTAAGTTCAAGACTGAAATTTGAACTTTTTACTGCTGCTTTTCTGAAGCCTAGACCCTTAAACATGCATTGAGAGTTAATGAGTGAATAAGTAGCCCCATGTCTGTTACCTGGTGCTGTATAAGAAAGTCTGCTGGCAGCAGGGTTCCACAAAACTCACACGGCAACATAGCTGAGTCATCGTCTGGTACTGGGACTTAATAGGCAGAAATGCAAAGGAGATTATTAAAACAGTGTTGTATCATTCAGATGCAACTTCTGCAAACAAAAGTACATTCAAGGACTTATATGAGCATAGTTTTTATATAACAATTGAGATACTTTTGATTCTTTTATCCTTGACTATATTTATTTCCTGTCATTTATCTCAGGAAAACTAATCATGATTTATTAATGGTCAGTCCTACAATGCTTCTAAGCAGATACTTAATGCTAAAGCTGTAACAGGTATTCTGAAACATTTCAGATTATATGTGTGTGATTCAGCACAACTTACTTGGGTCTAGGGGAATGCTCCGTAGTCTGAAAGTAGAAAGAAACACCCAGTTTTGAACAAACATATTCAACAAAAAAAATATAACATAGGGATCTTACCATTAAAATGAAAACATCTTGGTTTACACACAAGAAGAACCTTCCAACTACCTGTTGTGATATTATCTTAACACTGGTCACTTCAATTTTGGAATGTCACTTTCCAAATTTGCAGACGGCCATGTTGAAATCCCTGATTTTCAACTTTGCCATTTCTGCAGGTAAAGTAAATTTTTACATACCATTTGAAAGATCATGTTATCCTCAGTACCAGGTTATTTTTTTATGGTCAAAACATACATATTTGTCAAGATATTTCACTTTAAAAATTGCAATCCCGTCGGTGTACAAGCCACACCGACGGGATCAGAAGCCCACCCCGGTCGGTAGTAAACTCTACCCCGTCGGGGTGGAAAACCACCCCGCACCCAGACCGCATCCAATTATCCTCATGAACACCCCATGAAAACCACTGAATTAATGAGAATTCACATCTTCACACCAGTGTAATTAGCAAGTTTGTGTGATAATTCATGAGAAGTCTGGGCTCAAAGGTTACCCCGACGGGGTTGAACAGCCCCGTTGGTGTGTTGAACAGCCCCGTCGGTGTGTCAGGATGAACAGGCTGGGCTAATGGCCTAAGCCTTCAGACCAGACTGAAAGTAATTTCCCAATGAAGTTTAAAAAATTAACATTAAACTTGCTTCTAGGTTGATGGCGGTTTATACACAGTTTATTATATCACTTCATTATTGTAGTTCTGTGTGTATTCCTGCAGTTTTTCTAGACTGTATTTTCCAGGATTATGAAAGAACATTGTCTTCAAAGATACAAATGAGTCATGGATATCTCTGACATGGCAGGAATGGATATGATTGACCAGTCAACCTGCTCCACATGAGTGCCATATATATGTACATGACGTGTACAATCCTGTACATGTGTAGGTCCTAACAAGGAGGTTAAAATCTAGTCTTTGTCCACCAATACCTAGCTCACTGTAGGATGAATTCTAGCAAGGAGGTTATAACCTCTAACCTGGC